TCATGAGCCCCACTCAATATGAAACATAAACATTAGCTGGTAGTGCATCAGATGATTCACTTGAGGCTTCCACCACTAAACCACATCCATTAGAACTGCTGGATAGCTCCGAGGTTTAAGTATCGGGCTAAAGAGCCAGAGGTTGCGAGTATGATGCCCCACTGTGCTTCCTTGACAAAGGCTAGACTTGATGATCCACAGTGTCACTATGCAGCTCTAAGATGCTGATGATGGAGGAGATGGTCTTCTCAGAAGGTAGTATGAGACTGGCAGAAGGATAGGAGCCGTTTTCTCAGCATTGGGCAGGGACATGTCTTCTGAGGGGTGAGAAGAACCTAGTTTGTGTGTGTGTGTGTATGTTCTGTGCCATCAATTCGGAAGTGACTTATAGTGACCCTAATAGGGCTTTCAAAGTTAGTGAAATATTTAAGGAGTGGTTTTGCCATTTCCACTCCCCCAGTGAGTTTCCATGGTTGTATAAAATTAGCCATATTTTATTGTTATTGTCAGCTACTTAGCAGGAGCTTGCCTGCATAATATCAGGAACACAGGGAATCAGATCATTCCCTTCCTTTGCCAGTTCAGAAGTTTCCCCCCTCTCCTACCACCAGTAACTTCTGTTACGTATTCATTCACTTTTTATCCCATCTTTCTGTCAATGAACTCATGATGGCACTCATCTCTCTTTTTCTCATGATATCCTCATAGTAAATGTAGTCAGGCTGTGATAACCGGGTGAGCTCACAGCTCCGTGAGGATTTGAACATGGAACTCTTAAGTTCTAGTGCAACAGCTTAAGCCCCTCAACCTGCTGGCCTACATTCAAAACAGGTGTTTTTGTCACAGGAGCCATATTTGCCTTTCCTCCTTTGAAGCAGGGGCTCCTATTGCCTCTCAATACACTTTCATCAGGTCTTCCTCTTGTGAAACAGGAAATGCCTTCTATAAAGAGCAGCCCTTAAATCTGCTCTGTCTGTCTTTTGTTCGCTAGCTCATGTAAAAGGGATCTTGCTGATTCCTAGGCACCTGATCTTAGGAAAGCCATACGAATAAAAGTTTACATTTCCTTCTCATTATTCCAATTTATTTGTCTCCTTTCAGCTTTAAAAAAAAATCAGTTGACTTCCCAGTATCTTGAAACAAAAATGGCAAATCAGCTATCCACAGAAAATCTGTTTGCTGCCAGTGATGATACATTATCAACTTGCAATGACTTTGCAATTGGCATGAGGGCACATCTGAAGGTTATATGGATGGTGTGGAAAGTTAAGTAATCTGACTGTTGTTAAATAAATGTATAGTTGGTATATTGTACCATCATAGCCAGATCCAAATCAGATGTGGAGTTGTGGAAACCCTCCATGAAATGGAGCACTGTTCACACTCCAGACTGTGTGCCCAGCTTGACCCCATCAGGAATTTCATTTCTGATCTGAGGAGACAGCAGTGAAAAGTAGGCCCGTGTTATCATGCTATCTCTGCCTTGCAGCCTCTTCTTCCCTGTCAAGTATGCTGCCTGAAACTGATCCACCCATAAGCAAAGCCTTTAAGTCTAGGCATGGATTGGGAAACTATGTTGTTAGAGTTCCACCCACCCAGTCCACAGTCCATATTCCTCATTGGCTAGCCAGCTGGACTGACTAAGGGCCCCAAGGCTATTTCCCACATTACGCTTTCCTGATGCAGAGATAATTCTGTAAAGGAGAATGCATGCTACTTGAAGTGTCTCCTTACTGAAATTACATCAATCATATTAAAGCTGTGTAGGAAAGTTGACAAAGGGTGACGGGGTCATCAGGCACTCTTTCCCTCTTTTCCTTATCCATCTGTAGCCATGCAGTTGGTGGATACATAAAGAATTCAGTGTGGGAATGTTGTTGATTGCCACTTGGAATCAACTTTCCTGCTGCTCAGTCACTTTTTCAGTCTCTTTAATTGTATTTGGATCTTTATTTATCCAATTTTCCTTTTGGTTATAGTAGTCTGGTTTCTTATTAGTGTATAATTGATGAAAGAAGAGAATAGATTTGTTCTAGGTACATAACCGTGCAGCTTCCTTTAACTGTGATACCGTTCGTTTCATTTGCTTCCCTATGTTGACTAGCATCCATTGTGGAAAATGTAAGCTTGTTATTAAATTGCTTGAAAACTTGAAAAATGCAATTTTTGAATGAGGAAAAGGACATGGAGGAAGAAGAAGAGTAGGAGGAAAGTAAGAAGAAGAAAATTGATAGAAATTAACTCCTGTGCAGTAAAGAGAGAAAGCACAGCCCATTGTCAATTTATACCTATATATTGTATGTGTTATTTGTTTTTGTAATGTGCCGTCAACTAGGAAGCAACATGTCAATTTATACCTATATATTGTATGTGTGTTATTTGTTTTTGTAATGTGTCATCAACTAGTAAGCAACATATACCGACCCTCATAGGGCTTTCAAGGTATTTGAAATAGTTAAAGAGTGGTTTTACCAATTCCGCACCACCAGTGAGTTTCAGTGGCTGAATGGAAATCCAAACCCAGGCTTCCTGAGTCCTACTCTCTCTACTATACCACATTGGGTGTCGCATACTGTGTGTACATGTTATAAAGCTATCTGAAAAAGAGACTCTGAATTGGGGCACTTCTACAAGCAGTTGTGCTGCTGTACACTAGTTCACATTTTAAAAAATATATTAGACTAGTTGTTTAATAAAAGCAAGATTGTATAAGGACTCCTACCCTGCATAAGTTCTTTGTGGATCATTTACAAAGCTTGATTAGTAGGGACTTCTACCCTTTGAACTAATTTAGTGTCAGTGTGGAATGGAGTTTATTAGAAAGCATATCAAGAGATGCTGGGAACCTGCTCTTAAGGTGGCAGTGGAGAGAATAAAATTAAACTAAAAGCTCTATAATTACTTGTAAAATAAGGCAACACGCCCCGGGAAGAACCTCCCAAGGATCTATGTATTTAAGTACTATTTTAAGGGATTAAATTGAGCTTGTCCTTTGCATTTATTCATTTTGAACTCTTCTACCCTTTCAGAAATTTCCTACCATTTCCTTCAAAGAGCTCCCAGGTGGTCTCCATCCCAGACAGTGCTTAGGGCCATATCCAATTAGCTGCAGCCTAGAAATATTTTCTGTGCCCATCCTACGCAAAGGGGCAGGGTCCCAGATAGCTCTTTGTCACTGGGTTTTTCCTCTTTTGCATTGCTGGGCACTGTCAATGACTCAGAATTTCTGAGCCAGAAAGGCCCCTTATGTCTTCTAGAGTGTACGGAGGCAATTTTGCCATATTTTGAAAAGTTCCGACATTCTTGACCCCCCAACACTCTCACAGGTTAATTTTTTGAAAAGAAAAGAAAAACCCTACAAAGGGACTTTTCAGATTAAAAAAAAACATTTTGTACCTGGGAGGTAGAGGTTGTAAGAGTAGTTGTAGGCCTCCAATGTCCAAGGATACACATACATGGTCCCCAAGCTTCTAGAGGTGGCCCACCCTAAGTGGGTGTAGAAGAGAATGGAACAATCTTGCAGATTTCCTGTAAAGGAAAACACACATCAAAGAGAAACAGAAAAGAGCAAGAAAGAATTGCAAAGGAGATCAACACCTTGGGGGGGGGGGAAAACACATCCACCAACTCATCTTCTAAACACACGCAGTGCTCATCAAAGAAAGAAAGAAAGAAAGAAAGAAAGAAAGAAAGAAAGGCTGGCAAGCTGGCAAGCTGGCAAGCTGGCAAGCTGGCAAGCTGGCAAGCTGGCAAGCTGGCAAGCTGGCAAGCTGGGAGGGATGTGAGGTTGTCCTGTGCAAACAAGGGGATCTGCAGAAAGATAGGCATGGAAACCAGTGGAGAGATTGGAGTGTGCAGAAGGAGTGAGTCTTGTAGATCACTGGTTTCCAGTCTTGGATTCCCAGGTGTTCTTGGACTACAACCCCCAGAAGCTTGACCACTAGCTGTCCTAACCAGGTTTTCATGCAGTTGTAGTCGAAGAACATCTGGGGACCCAAGGTTGGGAATCACTGTTGTAAATAACAAGTAACACAATTTTTGAAGTATAGCAAGTAGGAAAAATGAGAAAGTCGGGTGAAGACCTAAACTACACTTCATGGCAATACTGTTTATGATACTATTTTTAGCTTCAGATATTGTGTCTTTAATTGTGTAAACTGCCTTAGGTCCTTCTTAAGGAGAAAGGTGGGCTGAAATAGTTTAAATTGATAAATAAATAATGAGAGGTTAACTTCTTATGGGCAACAGCAGCATGCAGGGTACTGAAAATCAGGTGTTTGGACTCCCCAAAGTAAACAGTGAAGGAAAGAGCTTCATGACCTGTATTCTGGAAGCCAATGCAAAATATATATATAATTTTGACAGCTTTTTCATTTTAGTGAAATCAAATTCAGCTGAGGACAATTTAGGGAAAGGTGTAATGGTGGTGGTGGTTGTGCCACTTCTGCTGCCACAAAGCAGCATGGGACAATTTAAAGAAATGGAAAGAGGACCACTTAACCCTGTCCTTCTCTGCTGAATCTGATCACCATATCTTTTTTCAAGGCATGGGATTCCCAACTTATATTTATCCTCACAAAGAAAGAACACTTCATGATATAACAGAAATGAGGGGGGGAGACAATAAGGAACAGCGATAGAGCAGGCAGAAGAATAGAGAGTCACCTGCCTCTGCCTTTTCTCCCCTCTAGATTGTCCCCTCCCGAAACACTTGAAAATGAAGACCCATCAGAGTTTCATTACCTGCCTTTATGTGTGAAACATAATCTTAGGCTACCCAGCTCCTTATACTGTTAGCCCAGTGTTAGGTATACAGGGGTGGCCAAAAGGAAAGGTCATTATAAGCAAACATTGCTCTGAAAGTTGGTTACTCTCAGAATCAGTGCCAGGTTTCCTGAGTCTCGTAACTGTGCAGAAACGAGTCTTCAGTGTGAATCTGCGTTTAACCTTGAATCATCTGAGGATATTGACTGTGTCTTTGTCCCCAATTCTTTTCCTAGGTTGTTCAGGGCCTAGTCATTGGAAGATTAACAAGTCGCTATGCAGAGCGGACCCTACTAATATTGAGTGTCATAGTCCTGAGTGGAGTGGGCATTGGCATGGTAAGTCTCTGGGCATGCATGTACATCATCTGATTAGGCAGTGCTTGAATAATGTACATTCACTGATGCAGAGTTCAACATTTGGAACACATTGTGTCTGAGGTAATACCAGGTGGTGTGAAAGCTCTGTCTGTTCCATCATACTGGTGCTGTTTTTTTCACACAAACAGTGATCATCATGTGATGTTAAAGGCAGCAAGGGAATAAACATGTGTCAGTGACCCATACTCTTCCAAAACCAAATAAATTAGTTAGTTGATTGATTAATTGCACATTGCACAAACTGTATGTGGATCTATTTTCTACCATGCACGGTGTTGTTACAACCTCTACCAAGCACAACTTTTACCAAGCTATTGGGATTATCGGGATCACCTGCTTTCTTCCATACGACAAATGAGACCAACAAGGAGAGAGTGATCCCATTCATCTCTCCCAGCAGGCAAATATCTGCTTCCTCCAAAAATGCATATAATGTTTTCTTTTCCTAATCTTGCTAGAATGCATTGGTTTAGGCAAGACTTCAAAAGCGGCAATGAAGACAACATTTGAAGACTGGAATATGCCTCAGAGGTTTCTGCTTCTCTTTCCATCCCTTGTCTCATCTCTCCTGTGCAGCTTCCCTCTTTAATTCCTAGATCCAAAAAACTTCAGCAAGTTACATCCATCTTGGCAACTGTGGCTTACTATCCACTTCCACGCTATGGTTTGCAAACTTATTTCATATTTTTGAGCCTGGTTCTATCTGTAGCTGGCATAGTTCAGACTTTGCAGTGAACAATGTGGATGCTGCCCAGTTTGGAAATAGATGAGAGAAACTGCGTAGGCAAAAAGAAGAAGTACACAAGATCACATTGTATTGTCAGTCCTCCAGACTGCCCATGCTGAGTTTTTTAATATTTTATTTCATTTAATTGGAATGAGTCATCCAGACAAAACAGCTTTCTATTTACATATGCAGCTTATGGTCTGAGTTGGAGTGGCTCACCCCAACATTTTTATGGTGACCCATCACTCACCACTTGACTATGGGCTGCCTGTGCCCTGTTCTCTCTTTGCTTTGGATATCACAGCAATTTACAGCCACAGGGCTCCAGACAGGTTCTCAAACAGCAGTCTGGGGCCTCCATTTGAGTGATGTGCGAAATAGTTGCATTTGTGTAGAGAATATCAATACACAGCCTTCCACTTAATTAATTTTTTCAGCCTTTGGATACCAAGGTCAGAACCAACCTTACAAGGCCTTAACTAATGGCTGTGAATTCCATCATATGGTAGTGGTTCAGACTAATCACTTTCCCATCAACATCTCACTGGTCCCACCTATGAGTTATAAATTTTATAATGTACAGTCATGTGAAAAAGAAAGTACACCCTCTTAAATTTCTATGGTTTTATGTATCAGGATATAATAAAAAATCATCTGATTCTTAGCAGGTCTGAAAAATAGGTAAATACAACCTCAAATAAACAATACATGTCAGTCTTATGATTTATTTTACAAAATTTAGGCCAAAATGGAGAAGCTATGTGTGAAAAACCAAGTAAACTAAGTACAACTTCCTTAGGAATTAAGAGGGTAAGTAGCAGCCAGGTGCTTATGACCTTGATCAATTGATCATCAGCAAGTGTGACCACCTCTATAAAAGCTAAAGTTTTAGCTGTTTGCTGGTTTAGAGCATTCAGGTGTGTCAAAGGGCAAACAATGCCAACACATCAGCAATGATCATAGAGAAGCAATTGTTGCTGCCCATCTATCTGGGAAAGGGTTATAAGGCCATTTCCAAAAAATTTAAAGCCCATCATTCTAAAGTGAGGAAGATTATTCACAAGTGGAAAACATTCAAGACAGTTGCCAAACTTCCCAGGAGCAGATGTCCAAGAAAATTCAACCAAAGGTCAGACCATACAATGCTCAGAGAAATTGCAGAAAATCCAAGAGTTACATCTCAGAATCTACAGGCCTTAGCATGTTAAACGTTAATGTTCATGACAGTACAATTAGAAAAAGACTGAACAAATATGATTTGTTTAGAAGCATTGACAGGAGAAAGTCTTTCCTCTCTAAAAAGAACATGGCAGCACAGGTTAAGTTTGCCAAGTTGCATCTGGACAAACCACAAGACTTCTGGAACAATGTACTTTGGACAGATGAGACAGAAGTGAAGATGTTTGGCCATAATGCACAGTGCCACATTTGGAAAAACCAAACACAGTGTATCAGCACAAACTGTCAAGCACGGTGGTGGAGGGGTGATGCTTTAGGTTTGTTCTGCAGCCACAGGACCAGAGCACTTTGCAGTCATTCAGTCAACCATGAACAACTCTGTATACCAAAGTATTCTGGAGTTAAATGGGAGGCTATCTGTTCAACAGCTAAAACCTGGCCGAAACTGGGTCATGCAACAGGACAATTATTCCAAGCACACCCGTAAATCTACATCAGAAATACTGAAAAAGAAAAGAAACAAGGTGATACAATGACCTAGTCAAAGTCCAGACCACAACCAGTGCTGTGGTGGGACCTTAAGAATGCTGTGCATAAACAAATGTAATTGTAAAGAAGAGTGAGCCAAAATTCTTCCACAACCATGTGAGAGACTGATAAAGTCATACAGAAAATGGTTACTTCAAGTTATTGCTGCTAAAGGTGGTTCTACAAGCTATTGAATCATAAGGTATACTTCATTTTTCACTCATTTATTTTTGTAAAATAAATAATATGTTGTGTGCTGTTGTTCCTCTGAGGTTGTAGTTACCTAATTTTCAGATCTGTTAAGGACCAGAGGATTTTTATTATGTCCTGAAACTTAGAACCATAGAATTCAAAGAGGGCATACTTTCTTTTTCAAATGACTGTAGCTCTGCTTCTGACAACAATAATGGTAGCAATTAAAAATAATAATTATAAAATGAATTGTCTACGTATTTTGCTGTGTAAAATAAATCTAATTTCAAAAAGTGTGCCACTGAGGCTCACAATCAATTTTCAAATAATCTGCTATGGGAGAGAGGAAAATTTGGAGAGAACTGCTCTGGAATATCCCAGTCACATGTGCCTTAAGGAGAAAGACCTAGAAATGGCTTCCTTTGACAGCTACTGACAGAGAAATGCAGCTGTCTTGTTTGCAACAGAAGTATATTTAAGTTACTTAAAAGCTTTTAAGTTCAAGTTGCTGACAAGAACATTGCTTGGTTGATTTTCATACTGGAGCTCTTTTGTAAGAACCCTGTATTGATGCAACTCGACCTGAACATCAGGAACATACCTGTCTGTATTCAGTGTATGGTTTATCGATGTGCTGACATAGAAGTTTTTTTATGAGTTCTGCAGTGCTTTTATGAAGCAGATATTTAACAAACATCTCAAGTTACAGGTTTTTCTCTCTCTCCTTTAATCACTTCCTCTCAGTGGATTCCAAAATATGCAGAGCTGAAACTAACAGAGAGGCCAGCTGTACTGAAAAGAAGCCCAGCTCAGAGCCTGTCTACATTTCTCAAAAAATCCACAATATGTAGGGTTTTAATCTGAGTTGACTCAAGTTACGTGGGTTTTTTTAGTTATTTCCTGCATTCCTGCTGAGTAACTGAAATTTCCCCCTTTAAAACTGGTTGTAATGTTCAAAATGGCTTAAGTTGATTAAGTAAAAAAGTGTAATAATATAAATGGTCCTCTGGTGGCCATTTATTTTAACTCGCTTCCTTAGAAAAATATTGCAACTCAGAGGAAAAGAAATACTCACTTTGGAATTCATTGTGTGAACATGAAACTCAGCATGGTTTTTAACACAGGTTAAATCCCAGGTTTTTTGCCTGCATGACCAAACCCAAATATTTAGGTAACAGCAGATTAAAGTGAAAATAGAAATCAGTAATGAATAGGAGACCCGAGTCTCAAAGCTAAATCAAAACAAGTGTGTGACATTTCTGAAAAGGTCCATTCCAGTTCCAATGGCCTAGTCAGTCAAGAAGAAATGATGCTCAGTTGGAGTCTACATGCAGAAGAAGATCCCTGCCTTCTCCAGTTTGTAAAAAACAGTCAGGTAGCCAGTGATGAGTAGGACCTTCTGGCTGAATGTTAAACTAGACATTACAGCTTTCCTCTGATTAACTTGCTTTTTTCCCCTCCCGAAATGGAATTTCGGAAGTGAGAATGGAAGTGAAAGCTGGTCTATAAAAAAGACTGACAGCAGAAGAATTGACACCTTTGATTTGTGGTGCTGGAGGAAACTCTTGAGAGTCCCCTGGACTGCAAAGAGAACAAACCTATCCATTTTGAAAGAAATCAACCCTGAGTGCTCACTGGAAGGACAGATCCTGAAGCTGAGGCTCCAATACTTCGGCCATCTCATGAGAAGAGAAGACTCCCATCTCTATTTTTAAGTGTTCCTAGCACACTAGCCATCAAAAGGCATGTTATACCTATTGTTTTTCATTAACAAGTGGGGGTTTTTCTGATGTAAGAAGTAGTTCTAGAACAGCAACCAAAGAAGTTGTGGATAAACATACAGTAGAAAGCTTTTAGTTGGGAAATTATCTCATCTAAACCCTTGTTTAGATAAGTCCCCTGGACTGCAAGGAGAACAAAACTATTAATTCTAAAGGAAATCAACCCTGAGTGCTCACTGGAAGGACAGATCCTGAAGCTGAGGCTCCAATACTTCGGCCATCTCATGAGAAGAGAAGACTCCCATCTCTATTTTTAAGTGTTCCTAGCACTCTAGCCATCAAAAGGCATGTTATACCTATTGTTTTTCATTAACAAGTGGGGGTTTTTCTGATGTAAGAAGTAGTTCTAGAACAGCAACCAAAGAAGTTGTGGATAAACATACAGTAGAAAGCTTTTAGTTGGGAAATTATCTCATCTAAACCCTTGTTTAGATAAGTCCCCTGGACTGCAAGGAGAACAAAACTATTAATTCTAAAGGAAATCAACCCTGAGTGCTCACTGGAAGGACAGATCCTGAAGCTGAGGCTCCAGTACTTTGGCCATCTCATGAGAAGAGAAGACTCCTTGGAAAAGACGCTGATGTTAGGAAAGTGTGAAGGCAAGAGGAAAAGGGGACGACAGAGGACGAGATGGTTGGACAGTGCCCGTGAAGCAACCAACATGAATTTGACCTAACTCCAGGAGGCAGTGGAGGAAGTGAGGAAAATCGGGTGCTGTTGGAAACAACCAAGGTGACCGTTAGACATGTTTGTGGAATTCTGAGAGTCCAAAAAAAGAATTTGTCCCAACACTGCTCAATACTGTGTGCTTTGACCAGCAGTTGCTCTCCAGGGTCTCAGGTGGAAGTCTTTCCCATCACTAACTACCTGGTCCTTTTCACTGGAAAAGTCAGAGAATGAACCTGGGACCTCCTGCCTGGAAAGTGTGTGCTGTGCTACTGAGTAATCATCCCTACAATCCTGGGGAATGAATACCTTACAATGCCTCCTCAAATTCAGAGCCTGTGCCCTTTCCACTTTTGTTTCAGTGATAGACATTTGGAAGGAAGTCCTCAAGCGTCTGTAGCATAAGAAAAGGAACATTTGCACATTCATTTGCATTTGGGAGACACCTTTAATCTAGGTGATTAAAGTTCAATCAATTCACTTGCAAGTGAGCAAGTCAAACAGGTTCCACAAAGCCCAGTGTTCTGCACTTCATAATTTCTTGGCTGTTCATATATCTTGAAAATCACGATTAAGGTTTAATTATTTATACCAATGTACTGTTGGCTGATACTCTGCGAGCTGTATTGGATGCCTGATGAAGACCGGAATTAATCATTACAGCTTTCTCTACTCTTACAATGATCATGTGATGATCAAAAGAGATGCAAAACATAGGATGCCTCCAAATAAGTACTCCTACAATTACCCTGCCTCATTTATGAAATTTGAACAAGGGTTTCGTCATCGTTTAGTTGTTTATTCGTGTCCGACTCTTTGTGACCCCATGGACCAAAGCACGCCACGCCCTCCTATCTTCCACTGCCTCCCGGAGTTGAGTCAAATTCATGTTGGTCGCTTCGATGACACTGCCCAACCATCTCATCCTCTGTCATCCCCTTCTCCTCTTTCCTTCCCACTTTCCCAACATAAGGGTCTTTTGCAGGGAATCTTCTCTTCTCATGAGATGGCCAAAGTATTGGACCCTCAGCTTCAGGATCTGTCCTTCCAGAGAGCACTCAGGGTTGATTTCCTTCAGACTGGATAGGTTTGATCTCCTTCCAGTCCAGGGAACTCATCTAAACAAGGGTTTAGATGAGATAATTTCCCAACTAAAAGCTTTCTACTGTATGTTTATCCACAACTTCTTTGGTTGCTGTTCTAGAACTACTTCTTACATCAGAAAAACCCCCACTTGTTAATGAAAAACAATAGGTATAACATGCCTTTTGATGGCTAGAGTGCTAGGAACACTTAAATAGAGATGGGCATGAAGCACTGGTTTGGTGGTTTGGCCGAACCATTTCCTAGCCCAAAAGTTATTCTGCAGTTCATCTCACTGCCCCCTCTGGCAGGCACCCACTAGGAGCCAGCTTCACAACTTCCCTACCCCACCTCCTGCAGGTTTTGCCTCTAAGTGAGCACCTGCTGGAGGGGGCATGGCGCTGTTGGGTTGGTAAACGAACTGGGATGGACCCATCTCTTGTCTATTTCTTTCCCAAAATGTGTACAAAAAATAGTGCTCAGGAATCTGCTTTTGAAAGGGAGGAGCCCATCCAAGATGATAAAAATTGTGAAACCAGCAGTCCCTCTCTGTCCATCAAAGGGTCTCTCTGGTGTACAAAGTCCTGTGGAGCATCTTACTGGGGACTGGAAGGCTGCACAGAAGGCTTTAAGTTGACAAGTCAGATACATTTTTGGTCTTATCACTGCCCATCACTGATCTAAATAATTTTCTTTGATTGCTACAGTTTATCTACTCTAGGGGTGTCTAATATTTTAAAATACAGATAGCCACCTCATTTTATGAGATAGATTCTATGAGACGGAGGAATCCAAGTAGTGGCTGTAGCATAATAACATTGCTATTTGTGTGTGATGTGCTGTCAAGTTGCATCTGATTTATAGTCACCCTGATAGGGTTTTCAAGGTAAGTGAGGTATTTAATAAGGGACCAGTGCCACCATCCCCACTGACATAAGATAGTTTGGTGGCCAGTGCTTCTTCAAACAGTGATTTGGAATGCTCTTCCCAGTGAAATGAAGTTAGTGACATTATTAGTTTGTTTTGAATCCACCCACAATGGTCAGGACTCACTAAATCTTTTGGGGACAAAATGGTATTCCAAGTTTCTTCTGCCTATAGCTGGAATGCCCTTATCCCTAAAAAATAAAATCCAGTAAAACACTTTCCTAAGAAAAGGAATCTTCTAAACTACTTGGCCAAATCAGAGGCTCTTTGTTCCACCTCCTGATGGATGCCTTTTATTTAACCAGGCTCCATCTCCAGAGCAACTCCTCCAAGCTGCATGAAAAAAAAATTATTGCTTCTCACCAGCCTAAGTGATCTATGCTACTAGGAGGGGCACTCCTCTGTATTCCTAAGCCTTGGTCTGGTCTGCCTTTGTCACAGCTGTGAGAGCTAAAGCTCTCTCGTGTAATTTGTTTTTCTCTCTTTATGGAAGCTGGCAAAGCCATACTGCTGCTTTCTTCCCTCACCTTGGCCCTCCAGCCCTGCAGTTGTGACACTCTCAAACTGACATTCTTAGCACTCAGAAAAGTCAGAAGCATAGAAAGCTGCTTTTTACCACCGAGTCAGACCATTGGTCAGTCTACTCCAGTATGGTCCACACTGACTGGCAACAACTGTCCAGGGTTTTAGGCAGGAACATTACCTTGAGATTGCTGTGTTATACTTGGTGGCCTTGTATCTAGGTTAGTAATCAGCCTCCACCCTACGTATGAAATCAGATGTGTTTTGGGTAATATAGTTTTTATAAGCCAATCTGTAGTCTTGGGAATTGCTCAGTTCTGGACAGTCTTCTTTTTCCCCATCTCCCAGGCCCTGATGACCAACGTGTTCCATTACTGCATCATTGTGGCCCCCATGGTCTTCTCCTTGAGCACTCTCGGCATCATCACCGACATCATCCTGACAAAGTCTGTCCCAGCATCTGACACCGGTAAGACTTTCTCTTGCACAGGATGTTCTCCTTCCTCTTCCTTGCGCCTTAGAAACCTGCTGGATTGCACCATTTGGTTACAGTCCATTGCTTGTAAAAGCTGCAAGCTAGCAACCGTGGGTGTAAGTTGGCCCTTCACTCTGCCAGGGAACTCTTTTGTTGCTAGCCAACTCTTAAAGAGTCCAGCAGGAAGAATGCCAAGTTCTAAAGTCTCTGCACATCTCACATAATTTGTTTTAGAACAAAGGGCAACCGATCCTGGAGTTGCAGCTCTGCCAAGCCCATGAACACTGGCTAAGACCAGCAGGGCTGGGATTTCAGGAACGCCTGAACGGAAGCCAGTGACCCATAGAACATACCAAGCCAGTTGCAAAGGGAAAAGTCAAAGCTGGCAGCGCCTCCAGAGATTCATATCCTTGTTAATAGTTTGCGTAAATATCCTCCCCTTGCCCTTAGGAACTAGGGGTTAGAGGGCCTCATCCGCACCTTAAGACCACCACCAGGCCCACAGCCCCATAGCATTAGCACACGGGGCCTATTGGTGTGAACCATCACTGCCACATCAGGACTTGGTACAGGACTAGGAAGAAAACAGGCCTATTTGTGGCTACCACAAAGCCCTCATTCTTATTAGCCGTGCCAGCAGAGCTAGCAGTGATTCCACCACACTTCCAACAAGCAATGTGTAGAGCCAGCCTCACAAGGTTGAAGTCCTGGGACCAACTGAGTATCAAGGACTATGACACCACTAGCCATTCCCCTCAGACTTCCCTGCAACCCCTGAGTGTAGCTGCATTGTTCCTACTACCTAGTTGAGGGAGAGAAGGAGGTTTTGCAGGGGCAGTATATTGTTTTAAGTTACCTATTGAAATGCACAATATTTAAAAGTGGTTTGGTCATGATGCAGCAATTAAGAGTTATTAACTTTTTTAAAGGCCTGTTCCTTATTTTTAGACTCTTTCTGCTCCTTGCATTTTTAGACTTTTCTCATTGCTCCTTGCATTTTTAGACTTTTCTCACTGTCACAGTGAGCACCCACACTGCCAAAAATTATCCCTGCACCACTGCTTTCACCCTACTTGCTTAGGAGCCATTGCAAACCATAAATCTGACTAATGGGCAATGTGTGACTCTCTAGACTCCAGCTGTTGTTGTTTTTTTCTGGCAGTTGTGGGTAGGTTGCAAGAGAGATGATTGTGTGCAATGTGTGTGCACTCATTCCAGTTCCACCTCTGAGGAAGAGCTTTTGTAGGTTTTAGGCTATATCCACAACTTGCAAAGCCTCCTTAATCAGAGGGTGCAGAGGGATAAAAGAAAACAAAACCTTTCTCAAACCATTTCCACTTCGATTTCAGAAAGGTCATCTGGAGTTGATGGAGTTTGTAGCCCAACAAACCTGGAGGGCATCAGGTTGTGTCAGAATGTCAGATTAGGAGTGGTGAAATATAGGTTCACATCCCACTCAGTCAAGAACCTCGTCATTTAACTGTGGTCCAGTCACTACATCTCAGTCCAAACTACTCTGTGGAATTATTGTGAAGATAAAACGAATGGCAATCATGTGCTCAGCCTTGAGCAGCTTGAAGAAAATATGGGATACACAAATAATAACATTTTTGCCTTTCTGCGGTAGCCTAAATTTCCATCTGCACATTGGTATATCCCAAGATAACTGAGGGATAGATAGCTCAGTGCTTTAGATATCTTGGCTGTGGAATGAAAGGTTGGGAGTTCAATTCCCCACTGTGCCTCCCTGTCATGGGCTGGATTTAATGACCCATAAGGTCTCCAGTTCTAAGATTTTCATTTTCCTGCAATTATTCCACAAGGACAAAGTTCCTGCAAACTCTATTTCTAAAACCACAGCTAAAATGCAGTGGTACTATTCCAATCCAAGTTAGCCTTTGACCATCGTCGCCTCTCTCAGTTCTCAGCATCTTCGCTCCTATGTTTGGAAGTGAAGAAATTGAAGAGAAGGGTTTGGAGCAGCAGCAGCAGCTGAAAATGACACATGATTCTTCTGAAAAGGGCTATTGTAAGGGATGTTGGGCTGCTCCTTGGGCTCCGAGTTGAAAACTAGTTCAATGCCATTGGGCAGTGCTTTTGCATAAATTGTTAAGTAGTAATTCAGAATGTCAGTATTTGCAAGACAGCAACAAAATATGAGGAGAATGGGGCAAAATGTATCAGAAATGTTGTGCTAGGATGCCAAGGGAATAAAATGCTGTACAGCATAAAGGGGTGGAGTATGTATGTGTGTGTGTGTGTGTGTGTGTGTGTGTGTGTGTGTGTGTGTGTGTATGTATGTATGTATGTATGTATGTATGTATGTATGTATGTATGTATGTGCATTCAAGGTGTTGTGTGTAGCAAACCTTACAACAGAGGGGTATCTAGTAAAGCAGAAGTTATAGTAATAATCAGAAACACATTTGGAATCTGTGCTACAATTGACAAGGGAACCTGAGGGTCTGAACACTCTTTAATTGATGCCTGTAGCCATTTCAAAATGAAGAGAATTTACATATACCAGGGAAGGAAACACTAGGCTTTCAGCTGTGAAAATAGGTTGTTGTTACTGTAAAGGAAGAAAGGAACTGGGCTTCAAGGAAAGGACAACAGGGACAGGATGTGCTTATGGAGGAAAAAAATGCTTAAAGTGTCTGTTCTGTTTTTATTACACCCATTTCTAGCAATGAAGGCAGTGCAGGTGACTCTTAAAGTAACACGGTTATTAATATGTATCAACACCCATCTTTGGGCATGGGTGGAGCTGCACATTAGCTGACCCACCCATCAATTTATTGCAACACGCCTCCCTTATTTACAACCATCCTCATTCATATATTGTCACTGGAAATCTTGTCATTCCTGGCTTTTCCGCCATTTATCCCAGTGAAGTCTTCAAACTTATCAGGTTTGATGCTGTAATAGCAGCAGCAGCAGTAATTAAATGTATCCTCTGCATTTTCTCCATTGTCCCAAGCAGAAGTGCAGCACATCAGGAGGATCCTGGCAGGAGGAAAGCGGTCTAACCTGTGGCCTGATTCAGATTATTATGGAAAACATGGTTTCATTGCTGAAGAGATGTGGTAGTCTCTGTTTTCATTTGGAGACTACATGAAGCCACAGTTCTCTATTATGTTCAGAATTGAACTAGAATATTTAACTTTTTGGACGAGAAATTGCCAGAATCTCCCAGCCAGCATAGCTATGTTGGCTGTGGGATTATGGAAGCTGCAGTGCCGAAAAAGTCATTTTTTCCCAGCTGCAGCCCAGAGTTAAGGAACCATGATTCATTGTAATGGAAGTTAGTAAGACAAACCAGAAACTTAGACTACAGTCTGATGGGTACACGAAAGAAAGATATATGGGGTGAAAGCACCACCATTGGGCACCCTCCAATCAAGGATAAGCATTCCAATCTGTCACTGGTATCAGTGGGACAGGATTAAGTGTGTGCTTAAGCTTCCTACTGAAATCAGTAAATTTGCAAATGCTTATTTGGGTCTGAGCAACTCCCACCTCTTGTAATGCTGGAAAGGTTCCAAGTCCTGCATTTGAAAACTGCCTTTCCTGCATTATTCCAATTGTAAAAAGACTCTGAGTGTTCTGATAGTGTAAAATCAGAGATAAATTCCAAATGCCACAGTATTTGCTATGCAAAAGGAAGAGTTCTGATGTCAGGGATTATCAGTTTCCAAACCACCATGGCATAATCACATGACATTGTGTCCCCTTCACAAGATTTAGGACTGCTGTGGAATCACAGCTTGGAAGTTTTAGTTTGATAGAGGGAAAAACTAGGAGGCTTGAATTTAAATCCTTGCTTGGCTATGGAAATTCATGAGACTGACAAGGGAGAAACCACTCGTTAAATATCTCACTTTGAAAACCCATTTAGATTGCTATAAATTGATTCCAACTTGGTGACACATAACACACACACAGCTGGGCCACAACATGTAATCTAAAGAGATACCTTTTCCAAGCATTGTTAAGCCCTCAATAGTAGAAATGCTTTGGACAGAAATTTGTTTCATACTAAAGCATTGAAATAAGTCCTAACATTAACATTTGTTTTCTCCACCCTTTCTCCCAGGTACCATGCTGGGAATAAGTTCTTCAGTTGCTCCACTGACGCGGACAATAGGACCAACCATAGGAGGATTTTTATATAGAAGATTTGGGATCTCATCCTTTGGCTATTTACAGCTTATGGTCAATGCACTTCTGCTTCTGTATCTCTTGAAAAAGAAGATCCCTCAGAAAGAAGAGAAAGTTCAGTAAATAATTTCATAAAGTGTTGATGAGAAGGAAGATTAGTGACATGTCATGCAACTGTCTTACAACTTTTATTACCACATTTGACAGCAAATACACTTATTTAAACTAAGTCTTTTAACACACTGCCATATATTGTTGGATAAGAACAAAACAGCCTTACTTGACCAGACCATAGGCCTAGCTAGTCCCATTTTTTGTTCCCATAGTGATCGGTCAGGAGCCTATGGAAAGCCAGCTAGCCAGACATGAGGACAGTAGCACCCCTCCTACTTGCATGCCTCAGCATCGGATACTGCGAAGCATGTGGCATCTCAAAGTGGAGCAAATATATATCCATTAAGAAGGCCTCCAACATGCTTTGGACCTGGATAAAAGTCATACAGACTGGTGTACACACAGAGAGACAGACAGACAGACAGACAGACAGACAGGCAGACAGACAGACAGACAGACAGACACACACACACACACACACACACATCCAACAGAACTTTATAGACCTCCAAGGAAAAATTGGAAGCCTGTGTCACAGCTGGCATTTATCCCAAAAGGAGTAGGACCCAGAGGAATATTTTGTACCTTGTACAATTTATTCTCTTCTTCTGGATAACTTTTAAATTTGTGCCTCATGCAAGACAGATAAAACTCCTGCAAGTTCTCTGTTTTTTTAAAAAAATAAAATAAAGAAAACATTACTGCGTGACTATCCACTGGATATATCAATAGTTCCCAAATTTGGGGTTCCAGATGTTCTTAGACTACAATCCCAGAAGCCCTAATCAGCACAGCCAGTCGTTCAAGACCACCTAGAGTTCCAACTTTGGGAACAACTCTGATAGATGGACAAGAGAAAAGATTCGCCAAGGTCACATCAATAACCAAAGGCTTAGGCTTGAAAAACTGAAAATCCAAGAGCACGCTTGAATATTCAGTGTTTCTCAACAAGGACAGCCAGTCAAAATATATTGTCTTTTAAATGGCAAAAAGATCACATTTCGCATGACTTTTTCAACCATGTATAGAGTAAAAAGTTATGTCAGGAACATACCACTCTGCACAAGCCAAAGAACAGCTACCTCATCCTTTCCCATCTCTTTTCTTCACCAGCTCCCTTCACCCCACCCTTCCAAAAAGGCTGACCTAGTCTGTAACCATCAGTAATGCAGTAAGTGAAACCATAGAATATTAAGTGGAGTGTATGGAAACAGTGTGAAATGGGAACTGGTAATTAAACTTGTAAAGCAAAAAACTTTAGAAGTGAATAAGCCCCTAATGACATGAACAAGCATTCTACCCCCACAATCCTAACTTGAATAAATTGTTTTAAAGGATCTTTCTGGTAAGCATTATTAACCACCTTACAACAATGGTGCTAAATGAAAAAGTGGAGGGTGTGTCATTGTTTTTCAAAATATGCAATAGTATTGTAGCATTATACGGTAGAGGTGTAACACTCTAAATCTCTCTCATTTCAGTGATACTTTAATGTAATTTAAAAATATTTAAATGTATATCCAGACAATACTTTAGTAATACTTTAAAAGATCAATCTTTTAAAAATTAACAGGTGATAAAAATGATGCCCACATCAACAGTTAAATGGAACGGAATACAAATGGAAGATGGATTCATGGGGATCTCTGCTAAAATATGGCTGAATGAGCTGATTCTTGCCTGGAAGCAGACCCATTCTCCACTATGAGGCTGGATCTCCAGTTACTAGAAATGCACACAGTCCAAGAGTCGTTGCTGCACAGACTTGTGCCAAAGCACTGCAACATTGGTGAATATTTTTCTCTGGACCTTTTCTAATTATGTCCAACATCAAACTCATCTTCTCTCCCCACTTCCAAGCAGCTCTACATAGAGTAAATATGTCAATAACAGTTGAAGTTGGATCGAATCACACATTTACAAAGGGTTGTCAAAGCATTCCATCCCATTATTGAATTTAACCTCTCTCGGCTTCCTTCAGGAGAACTCCAGAAATGAAGATATGTAGGTCCTTAAATGTCACATGTGTTTCTGCCAGAGGAGTCTCAAAGGGTGCAAATCAGCTGATCTGTATTGTATTTTTAAAAGCTCTGTTTGGAATACTGTTCTGGGTTTATTATTATTATTATTACACAGGCTAAGGTTCAGAATGGAGGAACTCCAGCTAAGACAAGTGCAAGGAAGAACAATAACTGTTCTCAGCTCAACAAAGGTACTGAATAGGGCTGCTGACTTTCCCAGCAGATGCCACCTGCTGAAGCAATAGACTGAAAAGACCATTTCATCATCTCCACAGTACTGGAGAACCTCAGAGTTGTTGGCCTGTTTAGCCCAGAAAGGGGTGCGTGTGTTAAAACAAGGTGGCGGGGGGGAGAAATGGATTTATTGACCTACAAATATATTTGAGGAAAACAGAAAGGAAGAATTCAAGGTAAAAGGAACCACACTGAAGAAAACTGGACTTCTGCTATTCAAGTACTGACAGAACACCTATTCCAACGAAGCTTAGAGGAAACAGGGGGGCAGGGGAGCTGTTTTCACTCCGGAGTGCTTTAAAATCATGCTGCAAGGTAGGCAATGATTGATGTCCAGGGGAACAGACCTCCACTTTGTATGTGCAGGAGGAATGGGGCCCCAACCACCTTTCAATCTATGCCTGCAAGCTCAACATTAAATCCTGAACATTATGGCAAGCAGCAAAGAGACGCTGCTTTTTAGGGAGCGAAGGCAAGCAACATGCTTTGTACTTACAAAAGGTTCTTCTGACCATAGTAAGGCACAGAAGACAGGGATAACTCCACAGCTTTTGTTGTGCAGCATTTAGGAATCAGCTTTGGTGTGATGTAACTACCCCAGCAACACACTCTTCTGCATTTTTCCTACCTCTCATTCAGCATCATTTGTCATTAGTGCTGCTGAGGGCTAGGCAGAGGACCCTGTGGAATGTCCATGTATGGGGTGATGGGGAAGGCAAGAAATGTGTGCGTGCATGGTTACCACCAAAACCGTTTTGACTCCATAGATGTGATCCATGAAGTCCCTGGTACATACCAGTCACAAACTCACTAGGTAGACATAGACAAGCCCTTTCCTCCAGTGCAGCCTGAATTTGGAGGGAGATCAATCTGAACTGTATCACAGCAACCAGACAGGGCTGGCTGTAAGCATTAATAAGCAGTCTTGGAAAGTGCCATGTTTTAGGAAGTGTTCACTCCCTAATAAAAGGCTACATTCTAAACCTTGATTTACACTTGCACTAAGCAAAATAGCATTATGTCACCTTGGCTTGTTATATAACAAGGACCTAGCTGTGTTCTTGGGTAGACACTGGATTCTGTGATCCAGCACATTTTCAGGAATGCAATCAGTAGCTCATTAATTGCTGCTACACCTTAAGCTGTTTTGCTCATGCATAAATCAGCAGTCAGATTCTGACCAAAATGTCTGCTGAAGAATGTTCTGCTCTGTTCTCAAGGCCAGTGGATCCCATGGGAAGTGCGCATACATGCTTTAGCCCTGGCTACTCCTCAGTTATTGCCTTTCCCCCTTGTATATTCTCTTGGCTTGCAATTTGATGAATGGCTCAAGAACTTTTTTTTCCAGGATTGACAATGAAAATTTGATGAATGGCTCAAGAACTTTTTTTTTCCAGGATTGACAATGAAAACGACTATGCCAGGTCAGTGAGATGGCATCCCCTTTCACAGCAGAATGTCAATTTCTGAGCTCAATAATCAGAGATCTTTCTATGCAGGCATCTTAATGGCATACTCTGCCCTCATCTCCCCACCATCATCCTAGCTCCAGTTCACAGGTTTTAAAATATACTTTTGGGGGGCTGATCATGTTTGCTAAAAGATTCCGAGAGTTTTAACTCACCCGCCCAACCCCAACTTACTCTTCCGATTTTTGGCACAGACTGTGTGTCAGATGAAACAAGCAGTTGGGTTTTTTGTTTTTGCAATTGCTCTTGCCCTGAATAGCCTTTTGATGCTCACAGACATGGCGGTCCTATCAGGGTGGGTAATAACAAATTGTTTAAAATACGATTTAAAACCAATTTAAACAAAATTAAATCATGAGTTAAATCAAGTAGATTTAAATCAAACCCACACTGTGTCCTATAGCACTATCCGAAGAAACATGCTATCAATTTACTCCTGATCTGGCCTAGTTAGGCTGCTTGTCACGACAGACAACAGAGCCACATCAGATGCCTATTTATTGTCTCCTTCACAAGGTAAAGCCCACTGCTTTTCTTCCGAGATGTAGGCTATCAAGCTTTTTAGCAAAATTGGTAGTGGCTGAAATCCTGTTGTGTAGTTACACAAATGGTGTAACTTTTGGAAGCAAATTACTATTAAGAAATCTCTATGCTACACATTACCTGTTGCACACTGAGTCACACAACTCAATACACAACACAATACACCTAGGGAGATTCCTTAACTCACACCAATTCACATCTAGATGTTATGCTATTTACATAACAGCACAAAAGGATTTCAGCCAATATGTATTAAGTGGAGTATACTATTGTTATGAGAGAAGTAGATTAGACTGTTTCTACTTCTACCGATAAAGAAAAGTTTCACATCTCACACAAACAGTAATTACAAAAAGCATTTAATCTGGAATGGACATATTTAAATGCTAGGATTGAATTTAAGACACACGTGTTTAAGGATATTTATCAAAATAAATAAAAATATAGATATTAAAAATAATTTAAGGTGGGTTTGCATCAGCTGGTGCTGCATCTTCTTTGCATCTCATAAATAGAAAAAAATCAGCAAAGGTGAGACACACGTGGGCATCCTTTGCCTCAAGTCCTTTTAATAGTCTTTGGCTTATAAATGCCTCTCAGGGAAACGTGGCCTCTCTGCACAGCAACCCCATCAGACCTGGAAGAAACCAGGTACGTTTAGCATCCTTCTGTTTTCCTTCATTGGTACCCTGTCATGGTTTGGTCCACAACAACTGGTTTTGTTTTTCATCCGGAGGTACGGTCTACTGAAACCAAGAGAAAAGCAATCAGTTAGTTATGCAGAATAGATTGACTAAGGCAGAACCATTGCCAAAGAAATATCAAAACACATTCTGACACATACACATTGCTACCTTTTCTCTCAGTCTGAATAAAGAAAAATGTCACGCCTACTCAGTAGTACATCTTATTAAGCGCAATGCAGTCAGCTTCCAAATAAGCATAGATTTGTGAAAGTGTATATCTCAAAATGTGGTATTCCAGTGCTATTTAGCCTTCAGTTGCACTTAATTCAGTGAGGCTCACTATTAATTACTACCACACATCCTGTAGGAGTACGAAGTTGCACTGCATCTAGTGGGGCTGGATGCTAAGTAAACAAGCACAGAATTGGGCTCTGCAATGCAATAATCCCACCATACACCCAAGTCAACCAAACATTTATTTGAACAATAGTATTAGAAATATAAAATCCCGAAGTTTATGGAAGACACTTTCTGCCACGAGACTGCAGTGCATCCCTCCCAAATACTTCGATAACAGTTTCCACTTCCATTAGCAGCAGCTGAGCTGCTAAAAAAACATTTTAAACAAAAAACAAAGTGCATTCAAGTAGGTCAAAACCCCACCTAACGAACATATAGTATTTCTTCCCCCCCCCCCAATGTGGACACAACTCACATTTTAAATTCCATGAAATTGATGACAAAGGAAATATGCCTAAACTAAGGGCTTGTCTACTGGGCAGTTTCCTTCTCCAGAGCAACAACCTCATCCCAAATGAGCACGGTTTATCGGTTTATCGAAAGCATCAACCAATGAATGGAACCACAGCAGTAAACCTCTGTGCTGTCTGCCATGACTTTTTTACAGGTTATCTACTTAAAGACGTTGTCTTTAACTAAGCAGTGTGAATGGCAGGGTCCCACTCATTCACTGATCCTGGCCATTCCATCTGCACTATCAGAGCAGGTACGTATCCTCAACAGTTCCAAGCCAGAATACTCCTCTGCTTAAACAGCGCAAAGGGCACACAGTAAGCTCTTTCATCCTAAAGGCCTTTAAAAGGTGTAGCCTGACATGACACAGGGCAGTTTTTTGAAGGCAGTCTTCTCTGCCCCTTTGCTTGAGCCTCTGCTTTTAAATAAATCTTTAACAAGCTGGCCAGAGCAAATATGAAGATCTCAGAGCCCTGGGTAAGGGTAGAGGGCTTCCAGAGCCAATCTGTTTCAAGAAAATCAGAACAGTCATTCTTACAGACCACCATGTAGCGCCCTTGCAGTTTGAAAACCCTATATCCAGTGCATGTGCAGAAATCATACCCTAGGCTTCTGTAAGAATCATACCCCATTATGAAAATGTTCAGTGGGACATTAACTGTCACCTTAAGTAATAAATCTGCTTCAGGACATTAGAAAAAAGCTGGAAAAACAAAAAGGGAGGGTTTCCCCCCCTTTTTTCGCCTTCCTTTATTACTTTTATATTTTGACTACTAAGGCAATCCAATACATTGTACGCATGCTTTTTATGTGAATTTTTTCTGGGGAGGGGCAGCCTTCACAGGACTCTCTAGAGAAAGGTCTGGATCCTTCAGAGGTTGTATAGAGAATTCCACTGCATGACTTGCTCTCTCTCTTAAAGTGAGGGATAGTGGAACTCCCTCAGATTGCACACAGTTTCTCCGAAACTGGAATCAGCGGATATCAAGCAGAATCGGAGGTGCGGTTTTCCTTCGAGCAAATATGGACCCCGGGGGAGAAGGGGGAAGACCTCCCCAAGGGTTGGCGAATGGCTGCATCGGACCAAAACGAGAGAAAGAGAGAGGGGGACAGAAGGGAGCTAAAGGGCCTGCGTTCAAAACACTGGAGGGAAAAGCCCCGAGGAGAAGATCAGAAACAGTAAAGCCCCCTCACCTTTGGCAGGGGCCTTGAGGGGGTCTCTCGGCCGTCCGAGGGGGCGGCGGGG